CCAGCGACATTCGGAATCTGTTGTTGTGCCGCCTCAGGGGACGCTGGGTTTGGGAGATTCGAAGCTCCTACAAGTAGCAGCTAGCTAAGTCAAGGTGCACATGCACACAGTACCAGGCTTTCAACCATGTCCTATATTTGTATACATGGCCGTTAGGAAATGGATTCGGCCCTGGCCCTGGCGGGTTGCTTGTTGATCTGCCCAATCCGCAAAAAGGTAAAAATTGGAACTCCTGGGTCTGTGAAGCGGGGCAACATTTATATACACTGTTTTTGATTTGGTCCCTGGTCGAAATTGAAGGCCACATGAACATACATGAACAACATCTGTTCCCAAGTATGCACAGATTATCCTCTTCATCAACCCATCCAACCACCCGTCCAACCACCGTCCGTTGGCGCCTCTCCAAAGTCCCCGCTGTGAAGGTATCCCAAGGCCAACATGTCTAGGGCCACCGCCTCAACAGGGATATGACCCGATTGGAGTGGCCTCCGTGTCCAGGCGTCCACAACTGGCATGGAGCAACTGACATGTTACTGGCATGGTTAGTGGCCTGTCCAGTAACCCTTTTGTTTGTTTATACTTGTACTGGTACCCGGTACCTGGTAACATAGCTACCGCTACCTGTGTGCGACGCTGCTTGATCTGCTCAAATCAGGCCGGTTGCTTGACACCGGGGGTTTAAACACGGTTAACAAATCACTAGGGATGCACGTCAGCGACACCAAACACATGTCCGTCCAGGAAATATGCTCGGTCCATGAAGGTCGAGGAAGTCTGCATGCTCTAATCTCCCTGACGACAGTTTCAATGGGCAGACTGGGCACGCTGCCAGCCACATCCACATCCCTTTTCTTGATCTTCACTGGGCAAAAAGAATGGCCTCTTTTTTGGTTGTGGCCTCCATATGGCATTGTTGTGACGAGCTGTCAGGGAGGTCGATCTTGGTGGCAACATCGACGTTGGCCTCCTTCATCTCGTGGCCGTTCACTGCAAGCATTTGACACCTCATCGCTGATTACTGATGCACCTGCTCTCTGTCATTCAATGCTCACGTTTTCGACGGTCTCCAGGTCCTTTAGCGCAAAACTACTGCTGAGTGCCCACGGGCTGTGCTGCAGAGTGCCAGAGTTCCGAGGCACGTCAGGATGCTGGAATTTGACATCTTCATGCCAACACCGTAAGCAAATTGTTGAGAGCATGAACACAACTTTGTGATCCTCATCCACATTGAAAATCATGAACAAATGTCAAATCCCTACCTCTTCCTTGCTTCTACTTCGTCCCCGCCGTCCCTGTTTCTTGGCTGGTCTGATTTATACCAACCTTCTTTTCAGAAACGAACCGCTCCTGCCGCTCTACCCCACACGTCCGGCCGTGCGCCTGGCCCCGCCGGTCGTTCGCTTCTTGGAAGCGTTCGAAGGCGCCCTGGGCACACGCGAAGGCCCGGGAGAAGTCCTGGAGTCGGAGTCGTGGAGTCGTGGGATGTGTGGAGTTGGAGACCATCGGTGGAGAGTGCTAGTCGAGTTGTTAGCGGTTGGAAACCATCGGAACCACAAAGGTTTCTAGCTGAACTATTTCTGTGATACGGATGGTGAGACTTCTGGAAAGTAGAAGGCACGAGAAACATGACACTCCTTTAGCAGTCTCTGCTAGTCTCTGCTCATCCGCATGTTGAGTGAGCCATACTCACTCACACGCTTTGTTGAAGGACAAAACCCAGACCCAGGCAAGAAAACAAATAGCATTCTTGCGGTTGTTGTTTGTTAAGAGTATTTATTGGGAGTTGGGAGGATACTTTAGAACGCGACTAATGTGTGACAGTCTAAATCATGTGTGCACATGTGTGCACCAATCCCATGTGGAATTCAACATCTGGTGGAAAGTTCCTACTGTGACAGTGAGTTGTAAATTTATTACATATCCGAAAATATTGCAATGATGCTATCACAAATGTTGGCTTTGTCAAAGCTCCTGATATATTTCGGAGGATGCTCATCCTACCCTTCCCAAGGCCCCTCTTAAATGTTGGCAGATCAAAGAGACTCCCAGGACCCGCCGGTTTTGGGCCGTAGACATCTCCTTGGCGATAAAGTAGGCTTTCATCAAGATCTGCAAGACACCCTCAGCACAGGCGCTCCCAGTCCAGTCCAATCCCACCTCTCCCATGTTTTCCAAATACCTCTCCCTGAGGATCGAAAGTTAGCTCTATATGCTAACATTTGGGGTTGTGTCTTCTGGGGCTCTCCGACCTCACCCTGTGAGGCCCGACCTCAAAAAACGAGATCATACCAGAACCCAAAAACCACAAAACCACAGAACCCAAAAACCACAAAACCAACGATCCCAAATTCAATTTCGTCACGGGTTGTCACGCTGGAGTTCGACAATGACATCATTTTTTAAGGGACAAAATAGACCAATCACGGTCTGTCACGGTCTGTCACGGTTCGTCACGCCCTGGTATGCTTGGTTCTTGGGATTTCATGGTCTTATCCTCCGACAATGATACTGGAATTGTATATACATTTCAGGTACCCCAATCTGTGATTCGACAACGTCTTCAAATAACACGATCAATAGAAACGTATGCATATCCTGAGATCATTTCTATTTGTGACCTATGTGTGGTCATGGATCGTCAGGGTCTTGATTGAGGGGGCGCTAGGGCCGCTTGATTTCCCGCAAAACGCTCTGGGGTTCCCTGCTGGCTGAGCTGAAAGACCGCAGGGCTCCTGAAACGAACTGGCCATGTCCGGTTTTGGGGAAGGTTCTCGCGTCAGGCATGCCCATCTGCATGGTTCGGAAACACCTGAAGTTGATCTCTCACGTGTGCACGCAGTGCACACTGCACACCGAAATATGCAGACTTATGGCGTATGCGTATGATGACAAATCACAGCAGAGACCCCAAACAAATGGGTTTGGTATGGGGTCTCTGCTGTGAAGCAGTTGGTAAGGGCTCTCAATCTCCCTCGATTGCTCGTCCGCCTCTCTCTCTCTCTCTTTCTTTCTTTCTGGGCAGGAGTTCGAGCAGTCCTCCATGTAGATCTGCATGGCTTCTTCGGCTGCTTTTATTGCACCGTCTGTGTCCTTCCCAGCTAGCGTTCAAGAGTGCAGTCAATGTGGAATCGAGTCGGTGCACGAAGGGTCAAACATTGTTTGTAAAATGTCAGTTACCTGAACACACACAAACAAGGAGAAAAAAAAGCAATTACTGTATCCAATCTCCACATCTGGAGTAACCCTCAACTTCTGACCCTAGGGGATTGGTGATGTAGTCTTAGCCGATGAAAGATTACCTCATGGCCCATCGACATGGTTTTTGTTCCCATCCTTGGGGCACGAACGGACACAAGGTGCTGGTGCTGGAGGTCACTTCTTCACAACATGTTCACGAACATCTGCGTCATATGATGGTTCTTCCTTACTTAAGGTTCTTGGGTTCAATTTTATGTCCAATGATAGATGAGAGAGGGGTCTTCCGGGGATCAATCATCAATTCCCGACATGGACCACACCTCCAAAGCCAGCATCCAAGCTGCAAGGCAATGCCTGGCTCTGGGCGGAGATGAAGTCTGTCTGCTCTGAGATTGCTCAGCAAACAAGAAAATCCTTGTTTTGACACAAACTGCGCAGTCGCTTGTGATGATTTATCCAACTTCAACCGGTCCCGACTCCATCCCAAAGACTCACTTGAACGCAGGGCGATGTTTTGCCCGAGTCTTAGACCTTACCCCAACGAACCTTTTAACAAAACAACCCAAGTCTCAAACCTTGTCTCTGTTCACAGCACTGGTCGTTTCTCTCCGAACACGGGTGGTTCTTCCACCGGTGCCACCCGTCTCAGCGGTGCCGAGGTGCAACTCAAATGCCTCCAGCCCTCGCCGTCGGGCCTTCGCCGAAGGCGGGTGAGACTGCGAAAGAAAAGGGCCCCCCCAAGTCGTCCGAGCCTTCGCATTCACGGGAATGTTCAGAAACTGAGGAATATCCACTTTCTAGCAAAACTTGTTAATTGATGTTAAAATATGTTAAATCTGTTGGTGGTTTTTCATCCCCACTGGCTTAGTGGGTTGGTGGCGGTCGATATTTATCTTACAAAACGTCTTACAAACTATACGGGTGCGGCTTTCTGTCTGACAAAAGAAAAGCATCATGATCATATAAATATAAAATAGTATCATACTCAACACATATCATCACCATCATCCTCATCCTCATTCCAACTTCCCCACCGGTTATCTTTCGCTACCCAGCAGCGTGACCCGCACTCCAGCGCTGTCGAGTTTAACCAACCGCGGCGCCACTCGCCTTCCGAAACAGTGCCAAGGCTTCTCGGCCAGCATCAGCTGCCCCGTCCTGGGTGGTCTGAAAATCGGACCATGGACATCCATGGACACAGCCCCAAAAGGGTGGTGGACTGTCAAATGATCGTCCCAAAAAGGCAGGTTCTGAAGATCGATCGCTGGTTTCGACAGCCCTCTCCCGTCATCAGAACCAGCATAGAGTGGGAGTTCTAGCGGTTGTCTCTGTGAGAGAGTTCCAATTTGTAAGTCGAAAATGAAAAAACTTCATGAAGAGGCCACACGTTGTAGCATGTTGTAGCCAATGTTCTAAGAAATCAATGCGCACAGCCGCCGATAAGCCCAACGACACGGTTTTCGAACATTCAGGTGTGATCCGTGTCATCTGGGATCTAAGTATGATTCATGACGGCATAGCAGCTTCCCTCATGTGTATCCTCCCATCACATAATTACATTCTAACTAAATGACTCCAGCACAAAACATGCCTCTTCTCGCGATTCCAAGATATTCCAAGGCTTCCCGGTCATCCAATCCCACCAAGGCTCCAAGAGCCCCGCGAGTGCTCGAGCACACGCCTCGGGTTCGCTGCTGCGCGGAACAACCACCGCTGAGTCGCACGACGCCCCCACGGGTCTGGGCTCGGAGGTCCACATGGATTCCACACACGTCACCAGTTGCTTTCGTCTCCGAAGTCCGGTCTGTGTACGAAAGGAATCGGAATGACAGGTGCTCTCACTGTGGAAGGCGCTCTCTCTCTCTCTCTCTTGCGGTCTTTCCTTTGCGCTCTCTCATGCGGTGATCAATATCATCCATCGAGCAAGGACACAACCAACGTCGAGTCGCAGCAAACATTCTGATCTGGAGAGGATGGATGTAGCGATGCAAACGTGCTTCTCCTCTCTCTCTCTCTCTAACGGCACTTTTGTCACCACTTTCCTCTGCTCCAATCGTGGCTGCTCCAGCTGTGCCAACCTTCCCAGCCGTCCCGTCCTCGGCGGAGTGGAGCAAGAGCTGGAATAGGCAGATGTTTTTTCACGTCAAGGACTTTTACCAATGAACATGCATGGATTCCACTTCGGTTTCTCCAGAAAGCTCGCTTTTCCGGGATGTCCCTTCAATGTATACCCAGAACAAACAGATCCTTAACAAAACTCACCGGCGGATTTGAACCCGACCTGAGGCTCGCCCGGCTCGCCCACCTGGGCCCTGTGGATCTGTGGGGTTTTAAACTTCTCCCTCCATATGTCCACAATGATCCACATATCCACCACATATATTCACATACAGTATCCATATATATAAATAATATCGTCATATACCTATAGATCGAGAATCTAGCAGCGTTTATTTCCGAGTCTGTAGGTATTATCCACGTGGATATCTGAGCCTCCAACCTCCGACCGTTTGCGCGGTTGTGACGACCATTCCGCCAGGTTGCTGCCTTTGGAATCGCTCCAACCGCTCCATGAAGAGCCTATACTATGGGCACGGGCGGTTGAAGGCCCGTACGTGCGGGGGCGGTTGAAGACGTGGGGCCAAACAGTTGGTAGGAAATGGATGTGGATTCATCTGTCCCGCACAGACAGGCAAAAATAGCATCAAATAACCAATGCATAGTAGTGCTGAACAGCAATCTCTCAGGTGAGTTCAAGATACCAAACACATTCGACATACAGTATCCGATCTGAAGTGTTTCTAATTTATTCATTGCTTCTCCCACTTGTCCCAGATCCTTGTTGTGCTGAGCCATCCTATTGGGGATTCCGCAACTCAATGAGCAGGACAACATGATGTACAGCGTTCCATAAAGAAGAATAAGAAACAGGAGACAGGCAGCAAGTTGCGAAGAGTGATGAGTATACAAATAGGGTTCAACCATCAAAAATGTCAGCCAGATTGTTCTTGACAGAATTGCAACAAGACTCGAGCAGTAATACGATGTAATATATATGATATAATAACCTTTGAATACATTGCGCGGCACATTGTGGGTCTACCAGTTACTACATGTTATGTCATCTTACAGTAAATCTGAGGGGCTCCAAGTCATGAAGACATGAAAAATCCCGTCTGCCTTCGACTCCTC